CCCCAAAACCCCAAAACCCCAAAACCCCAAAACCCCAAAACCCCAAAACCCCTTTAATAAATATCTCTAATGAATTTATAAAAACTAATTAAAATGAACGGCAATGACAAGTTTATGCAAAATCAGCCTCAGACAAAACAAACCAGCGAGTCTGAGATGGACTATGCCGAGGATCTTGGCAAGTGGACCTCAGAGATTAACCAGAGAGATCAAGAAGCCAAGCTTGCGAGAGAAGTAAAATCTCCAAACAAATAAGTTGCCTCCCATCAGAAGCAGCAAGCTGGAAGAAGAAAGGGTTAAAAATAATGAAGAAGGTAGTTACTTAGATACCCTACCTAGGAACGAGCACGCTCATGAAGAAGAGGATAAAACTCCTCATGGTGATCAGAATTTTCAGAGAGACAGCACCCCAATGCCTAAATATTACAAAAATTGGGATAACTTTGACGAGGTTGAAGCTATTAGGAAAACGGAAGGCCTTCAACTAACCATGCTATTTCCTGAATATGAAGGGCTTACAGTCGAAGAGATCAAGCAAAAAGAAAAAGAGCGATTGCAAAAAAAAACAAGAGGAGCAAAGCCTAATACAAAAATCATGATAAAAGGAGGAAATAATCCGATTTCTCAAATAGATATAGAGCATATGAGGATCCAAGGGAACAGTTTCTTCTCCACTCTTGAGTTTGAAAAGGCAATTGAATGATACACCAAGTGATTGACGATGGATCTAGAAGATAAAAATATTAAAGTAGACCTCTACTCTAACAGATCTCAGTGATATCTAAACCTCAAGAACTATGCTGATGCAGAGCAAGATGCCCTCTCAGCTCTAAAATTAGACAGCTTACATGAGAATTCGCTATTTAGGTATGGAACTGCTCTATATTGTCTGAGGCAATACAAGTTAGCAAAATTACAATTTGAAAATCTCTTACAAATCGATCCACATAGCAAGAACGCTCAAGAATATCTCCATTACATTGAGGAAAAGTTATCCAATATAAAAATAGAAGCAGATGATAAACTCTGGCAAAATGAAACACTCAAACGTAACACACCTGGCAATAACTGTATTATAGAGAGTCAAGAAACCAATCTTGTCCAGAAAGTTGCTCAGAACCTTCCAAAAGCTTCTGAAGCAATCCTAGAAAATAAAAATACTACAACTTCTGAAGAAATCCCAGCTACCACTAAAGAAGAGTCCAGATTGCAATTCCTTCCCATAGAAAATTTTAGCTTAATAAAGCGTGAAGATTCAGAAGAGAAAAAGATGGATGAATTTTTCGAAACCAATGAAGAAGAGATTACAAAACTTGAAGAAGAACGAAAAATTCATAATAACAGAAATTCCTCTAAGAACACTCGAACAGATCAAAATTATGAGGACCAGAAGATCTCCAAACAGGAGGGCATAAATGTCCAATCTGGTGAGGAAGGACCAAGGCTGGAATTACCTGGCACAGATCATGAAGAGCGTAAGGTACTTCCTAAGCTCTCTTTCATACAAGAACCTGAAGTCCAACAAGTCATTGACAACAAGCCAAGGATAAATTTTTCCTTTGGTGACAACGAAGTTATCGAAATTGAAGGTGAAGAGCAAGAATCTCCTACTCAGGGAGCTGGAACTCCTGAACAGTTCAATGAAGGGCCTCCGAAGCTCAGCCTCTTCGGCTCTGCTAACAAAATCCACCTGAGCCTGGATAAAGAAGGAATTAATTTAGTTAGCGGACACGAGATTCGTAAAGAGATAGATACCAGCCCTGTGCGTAGAAAAATCAGAGAAGAGTGTAAATAAGGTGAAGCAGACTCTCGAATACAACCCTACAGAAGAACACTTGCATGTAGTTAAGAGTGAAGAGGGAAGATTCTACAGCATCAGATTCCAAAAACACAACCAGACAAAATCCATTCTCAAGAAAAGAGATAGTGAATCAATCACTGATCAATCAAGCGTCGTGAACTTCGATTTCAATGATAATGAAATCAGAGATTTCAATAAGAATGACAAATTGGATTTAAGAGTGCTGGACAAACATCTTTCAGGTAAGATTTTCAACATCTCCAACTTAAAACAAGAAAGGTTTCATCAGAGGGTAGAAATAATCGATTTTTATGAAAAATTCATACATATCTTCTTATTTTACATAATATAGTTGATCAAGCTAGAAATCGAATGAAAAAGAAAAATAATAGCCTTATTGGAAGCAAGAGTATTTCGGGGGGAATTGCTTCAAAATCACCCATGACATTCGCAGATATTGATCAAATGGATGTAGACGATAATTTCGACTCAGATGATGACCATGAAGCATGAAATGCTCCTTCTACAAGGAAATCTAATTCAGAAATCCGGTTTGATAATAATAGTCCCTTCATTGGAGACTCTATAGTCTCCTTCTCAGAGAAAGCATCTGGCTTCATGAAAGAAAAGGAGGAAGTCAAGCTTGACCTTGAAATACCTACAAAATCATCACAGTTGGAAAAGGATATGAGAAGTTTAAAAAGCGATTTGGAATCGCAAAGAGAATATTTATTAAAAATCAAGCCTTCTTCTCTCCCATCGATTTTCTCAGACTCCATCGAATGAAGCTCTGTTATACAGATCTCGAAGGCTTTCTGACAAGGATCGAAGAAGTGGATTCGGAAAAACTGAAACTATCTGGTAGATTTCTACTCAAACATGTCTAAAATAAACAGGTTTGAAGTTACAATAGAGTCACTTTCTGAAGAGGAAAAATCTGACATTTACGCAATCACGACTGAGCTTACAAACATCCTAGAAGAACGTAAGAAAGATCCTGATGGATCCCAAGGCAAGAGGGAAACACTTGAGAAGAAACTCAATACTTTTGTTGACCTTTTTAACTAATTTTTTATGGCATCAGTTCTCTCACCAACTATGCTCATGAGATCAGCAAGTGGTCATTATTGTGAGGGTGGGGTAGAGTTGATCTAAAATAAATTCCCTTTAAGCTTTCTTTGGGAACATAAGGAGTTTTAGCAAAAATTTAATATTTTATGAACTTACAAATAAAATATAGCGTTCGGGGTTTTGGGGTTTTGGGGTTTTGGGGTTTTGGGGTTTTGGGG